CCCCAAAACCCCAAAACCCCAAAACCCCAAAACCCCAAAACCCCAAAACCCCATATTTATATCATGCTAGAGGTTATATAATTAATGAAAAAGATAATTCTCTTAGTTCTTCTAGCAGTTTGAATTGGGACTTCCCTTGCCATAAAGGAAGGGACGATTGATGACGTAGACAAGATCATATTTTATGCCCTGCCTCATTCTCACACTGATGCAGGCTGGTACTGGACCTATAATTACTACTATAATTTGGCCAAGAGAATACTAAACTCAGTTACAGATTACATGGAACATCATGATGAAGCCAGATTCACCTGGAGCGATCACTCTTTCTTTAGGAAATGGTTCAATGAGGAAGTAAAAGGTAAAGGCGAAAAGGAAAGTAAAGTTAGAGACCTCATTCAAAAAGGGCATCTTGATTTAATCAATGGAGGTCTTGTCCAAAATGATGAAGCCTCTCCACATATGAAGGAGACCTTCACAAATCTAGAGGAGGGACTTAAATTCTTATTTGAAGAATTTGGAATCAGACCTGATTCATACTGGCAGTTAGATCCCTTCGGTTTCAGCTCTGTATCTCCTGAGATATATAAATCATTCGGAATCGACAAGGTAGTCCTGAACAGAATGTCAGATGCTTACAAAGATGTGCTCAGAAAGAACCAAGACCTTGACTTCATATGGCAAGGGGATGGTGAAGAAGAGATATGGACTCATACTCTCCATGGACATTATGGAATCGATAATAACTTCTACTTTGATAGGAGATGGGGTGCTTCAAACAAATGCCCAAATCCTTTGGACAAAAGATGTGTCAAGAAGCTTGTTGAAGAACTCATTCATCAAGGCATGAAAGTCCACAATAGGACTGGATATGTAATGCAGTTATTAGGAAATGATTTTTTCTTTACAGATGCTCAGTACTCCTTTGATTATATAAACGGAATGAAAACTTCACTTAAAAAATATGGACCACATTTTTTGAAAGGAAAACCTGTTGAATTCAGATTTGCCACTTTGACAGAATATCTGAAAGAGATGGAACATCTCAGATATGAGATCGGCAGATACAGAGGAGACTTCTTTGTTTATACACAATATCATGAGGGTAATTACCATGACCATCATTGGGGAGGATACTTCTTCTCAAGGCCTATGTTCAAATGGATGGTGAGAGATTCAATGTCAAGAGAAAGATTGCTTCACTCAATGATTGCCACTATGAATTTTCTGTCATTCTCAAAGGAAACACATGTAAACAGAGATGAATTAAATAAAGCTTATCACACTCTGCTCAATGTGAAAGAGTTTAACCCAGTCTTACTCCATCACGATGCAATTACAGGTACACATGGAAGAACTGTGAACAATGATTATAAGAAAATACTCCAAAATCTTCACAAAAATATGGATACTGCCACAAATCAGCTTATATACAGCCTTCAGTCACCAAAGGACCTCAAAAATAACCGAAGAGAGGTACAGTAATAAAAATCTTCAATCCTTACTGATAATGTTTCTATAGAAGCCAAGCCATGAGCCAAACAAATATTTTACCATAGTGATGCATAACCCATCCTTCTACACAAGAAATGAAATTATAAATGTGACCTTGCCATCAGATCACTGGTCTTTTATCAACACTGATCATCCCATTGCAGAGATCATGGATAGCTATAAGCTTGATGGAGAAAGATTCACTCAGGATACCAGAGAGTTCACTCTCTGGATAAAAGTTTCAATCCCTCCATTTGGACACGAGAATATCCCTATTGAGAAGCATGAGAATCGAGATCAATGCCGCAGAGCTGGAAGATGCATCCCGAAGATCAAGACTGAAAACCTAGGCACTATTTCCAGCGACCTTACATTATCTAACTCTCATGCTAGTATCGGTCTTGGGAAAAATACATTAGAAATTAAGCATTTTACTGATAAAGACACTGGGCAGAAGATGCAAGTTAATGAGGCTCTTTATAAATACGATGCTCAATCTACTCATTCTTGTATCTATATGTTCAAGCCGACTAGACATGCTACTGAGATTCACTTAAATCAGCAACAGTACCTAAAATATAACGGTAGCTTAGTTACTGGATATCAGGTCTACGGTCAGGATAATGATATTCATTTCGATAAAACTGTGCTACTCAAGGAAAATGATTCAGCTTTGCATGTGGTCTCAAGAAATAACATTAGACAAGGGAGAAACAAAGAAATATCAATTAGATACCAAGGATACGAAGCAAATGAGTTCTACTCTGGAGATTCCATGGCATACATTAACAGAAAATTCATTGACCTTGAAACAGCCAAGGCTAGAAACCTCACTAGACAAGGTAGTCGCTCAGATACAGACCTTCTTGGTCTGAATACATATCCAATTGTAGATGGATTCGTATCTAAAAATGGTGGATATATCGGCTTCTCTCCTTCCCAATCAGCAGGAGTGAATCTTTTAAGTGATTCTGCATTCGAATTTCTCATTGCACGTTCGATCATGAACATAAATCAAGAGAAAGGGCTGCCAGAGAGATTGGACGACCACCTCACCACACATTTTAACTACAAGGTGTTTATGGCTAAAAATCTTGAGAAGATTCACAACAAGTCTCATGTATATGGAGGTAACCTAACTTGTTCTAAGCTTTAGACCAAATGGTTGACCCAATCTTTGTCATCAAGAATGATGGGCAAAAGGTCATCGAGATTCCCAAAATTAGCTTTGATGAGACTGAAAATGTGGGGATTGATGTAATTTCTTTCAGGAATTTCGACTATACATCCCCAATACGGAGCCCAGGAATGATAAGGTTGAGGAATAGGTCCCATAAACCTATCAGGTTGAACCCTATCCTCTTCTCTTATGAAGAAGCAAATAGCACTAGAGGGCATATTGCAATCATGTCTGGTACAAGATATGGATATTCCCATGCTGAAACACTGAAGAATCTTAACTATGAACAGAAAGTGTCTAAACGCTGGAATGTAAAGGATGACCATAATGTTCTGAAGGGCTATAGAGACGATTTCGTTACTATTGAGAACAAGTTGAGGGAAATTCATGGCAACCAGACCTTGGCAGGCCTCGCTCTGTATGATAAGGTCCTCCAACCATCTGAAATCTCTCATTTTATGCTATACTATGGTGAATTTGACAAGACTGATGAAAAGCAAAAAATAATAGGTAACCACCTTGAGAGAATTTCAAAAGAGGAGGAATTGAGAGAAAAAGCATATGAGCGCGGAAAGAAAAGCGATCTTGGCTAATTATATTGCTTTTTATCCAATCTAAATTCAAAAGGGGTTTTGGGGTTTTGGGGTTTTGGGGTTTTGGGGTTTTGGGGTTTTGGGGTTTTGGGG